TAAACAGTATTGGTAGACACAGTTGCATCACGCGAAAAAAAATAAATAGAATCTGGAATAAATAATGCAATAAAATTGAAAAGATCAAATATATATCACATTGTGAATCCTTAATAGGTGCAATGAATTAAGAATTTTATTGATTTTGAAACTAAATTATTGTTCAAAAACACAAGAATTAAGTTTTTTAAAGTTTATTTTATTATTATTAATGTAAAGTGACCAAACCGAACATAACCAGCACGCAAAAAATGCACATAGAACAATCAGTTAAGTTGAAAGTATCTGTTTCTTTTAATGAATTGATATTTTTAAATGGTTTTAACAATTAATTAAAATAAAATTTAACATTGTTAGAACTTATTTCCTAGATTTTCGAGAAAAACAAAGTTTAAATTTTTGTTAAAAACTGTTTTTTATTGTAAAAATAAATTAGCAACATGACTAATTAAGAATTTTATTGATTTTGCAACTAAATTTTTTTCGAAAACACAAGAAAACAATAAAAGCAGTAAGATTCAAAAAAAAAAATTAATTCTATCGATAAAACTTTTTGCGACATCTGTTAACAGGATTGATCAAGGTGAAAATTATGGTTTGAAGAATATTTCAGTCAGTGCAAATAGTTTAAACAATTATGCTATTGTATGTGCCTCTTCAAATCTCTTGCTGATTTTTATCTGTAATACTTTGTTGATTATCGATTAAATTTTTGTCATTCACTGATATAAAATTGATGCTGTATTATGGATCGCATAATTATAAAAATTTATGAAATGATTTTTTATGATTACGGAGATCCTTTTCCTTCCCAAAAATTTAATTCCATTTTATTTATGCAATAATCGAGGGAGGAATGCATATGAGCAATTCCATTTCATTAGTAATTTAAAAATAGCAATATTTATTCGCAAGTTCTTCATACACAGCATGCAAGATTACTTGCAAATGAAATCAATGGATGAAGTTAATGCAGAAAATAAATTGCAGGGATAACAAAAACGAATATAAGATCAAAGAACAAATAATTTATCAATAAAAAAATAGTAAGTAATCAACAATAACAAAAATAGGGGATAGGTATAATAGAAATAGCGAGTGCATTTCATCCGTTTAAAGTGCGCAAGCTTTAATGATTCTTCATTTGCGATTTCAATCTGCATTTAGCCTGAAAATCTTTACTGCTTATCATACAGTGATAAGCCTACTATTCAGTTGATGAGTTACCATGTGACTTTGCAAGGTGCATTTCTTTGTGTAACTTTTTCCGCATATCGAACAACTGTGCGGCTTCTCACCGGTATGAGTTTTCTTATGCCTTTTCATATTACGGAGATCACCGAAATTCTTTTTGCATATCGAACAACTGTACGGCTTCTCACCGGTATGAACCACCATATGTGCTTTCATATTGGTGGACTGAGTGAAATTCTTTTTGCATATCGAACAACTGTACGGCTTCTCACCGGTATGAACCACCATATGTGCTTTCATATTGGTGGACTGAGTGAAATTCTTTTTGCATATCGAACAACTGTACGGCTTCTCACCGGTATGAACCACCATATGTGCTTTCATATTGGTGGACTGAGTGAAATTCTTTTTGCATATCGAACAACTGTACGGCTTCTCACCGGTATGAACCACCATATGTGCTTTCATACTGTCGGACCGGCTGAAATTCTTTTTGCATATCGAACAACTGTGCGGTTTTTCACCAGTATGAGTCATCATATGTTTTTTAATATGCCAGGATTGAGTGAAATTTCTCTTACATAGTGGACAACTATACGGCTTTTCACCAGTATGAGTCATCACATGCCTTTTCACACTGCCGGACCGACTGAAATTCTTTTTGCATATTGAACAACTGTACAGCTTTTCACCAGCATAAGTCGTCATATGTGTTATCATATTTGATACTTCTCTTCGACATATGTCACAATGATGCATCTTCGTCGTCCTTTCTTGCTTTGATAGTTCCGCTACTTCCATCAGTGTTTCGACTGGAACGAGCTGTCGCCCCGGACTAATTTGTTCACTGCTCGCTCCCTTAACTGATAACCCTTGTGATACATCTCTTTTCCCTTTAACTTTTGATATTGATAAATCCAATGGTTCTGTTTGTTCCGTTTGCGCTACCTTAAATGATATGAAATTATCAATGAAAAATCACTGTGTAAAAATTTAAATCCCGATGGTATTGTGGTGTTATGTTGTTTTTTTTAACTTTAAGTGGACTTACTGTATTTCGAATATTGCTCAATTGAAAGACGAAGAAGAATAAATAGATGAAATGCATGTCAATGAGAATAATTTGTTGCCAATTCTGGAAAACATTCAAATTTATTGACGGTTGCTTCTAAAGAATAATATCGCTGCTATTTGACAAATGCGCAAAGGCGATATTTCTTCAAGTAAATGCTTTACTAAATATATTAGCTTATTTACAAATTTATCATCTAATTCCAAACTCAAAAGTTTGAAAAGAGGTAACGTCTTCTGTCGAAATGAATGAAATAGAATTACTGAATGAAAATTGTAGGAGAGTCTGACAGAGGCCAACCGATCTATTCTGTTAGATATTGTTCGATAATCGCATGTATAAGTTCTCATTCAGATGGGGGTGGCAAATTACGTGTATTAATAACTTACGTCCACGTATAATATGTATAGTAATAATAATAGAATATATAATAATGTATAATGAATTGATAATAGCAGTACTGCTTAATCCTTTATACTGAATCATTTCTTTTCAGTTTCTGTATTTTATTGTTATAAATAATTTATGCAAAGCAGTTGTGACACTTTTTGTAATTTTATGATATTTCGCTTCAATTTTTCCACATTTTCAAATTTTTGGGAATATTAGAAAGAATGGAAAATTACATTGCTGCATCTCTTATAATTGGTAATGTTGATTTATAAATGCTAAATGATTTCAACTTTAAATTTGCTTTGTGTTGTGTGTAAATTAGGTTATTAAATTTTTTTACGATTTTCATATTTAACACCAGCTGATGAAGACAGCTGTCAAATGAATTCTTATTGACGATTTCCAATACTTTTAAAATTTTCAAATGCCAATCGCAATGAAAATATGAAGAAAAGATCCTATCATTTATTGACAGTAATCAGTAACGTTAGTTCCGTCCAGTAACGTTGCACAATGTGTGATTGGTATAACTTAAATGCTGAACTTGAACGTATAAGTTCGCCATCTATGGGCTATGTAACAAGTGGAGTTGTCTAATGGCTTCATACGACAAGTTCGAACTGGATTTATCTGCAATTTCTCATTGTAGAATTTAAGAAGGACAGGTTTCAATTTGTTCTTATAAGCAAGGATGTGACACCATCGTTATTAATTGATCTTCACTGATTTTTTTATTTATTTAGCAATAGCTACTTTTTTTTCTTTTCTTGTTTCGTGATTGTTGAAGTAAAGCAAACGATAAAAAAGTTCTTTTTACACAGTAAATAAGCCAAGTTGAACATATGTAAATGATGTCTAAATGATGTAACAAAGTGAGTGAGAAAAACAAAACTGACATAACAAGTAAATGAATCAGTTGTTCTACTTTTCAAATATTTTTATCATTTAAAATATTTGCTAATATGAATATTAACAAATTTTTTTCCTTTGTATCTATGCCATTCTCAAAATTATAAATACAACTTCTGTTGCACGGCTCATTACAGTTTGCATTGATTAGTGGTAGCTGCTAATTAATCAAATAGAAAATTTGTTTTTTACTAAATTAACCATGCGATGGACAGAAATTTTCTCTTTCAACGATTTCTCTCTTATAAATATTGTTTTCATTAAAAAAAAAAATGATGTTAAAACTGATAAATAAGCAAAATTAGTATTAAATATTTTCCTTTCATTTATGAATAATAAAAAAAACAGTTTCAGTCGTTTTTGTTTCCTTCTGTAATTATAAACTGCTATTATCTTACTGTCGAACGGAAGCTTCAAACACTATGATTTTAAAGCAATAATTCTAGCATTATCTTTTAGTGCTTTTTTTATTCCATCACCTGGATTTTTCGAATTACTCGAATACCGTTAGTATCAGACGTTTTTTTTTTTTCAATGAAGTTAACAATAGTTAGCTATTAAAAATTCCTAAAATAATGATTAATAATTAATCATTATGGTTACATGAAAGTTTCTCTCCGTTGCCTTCCTTCTTTTCCGCTATCAATTTTCTGAGATCTGCCAATATTTTAATTAATTACGAACTATTAAACAAATTTGCTTCTCACAATTCCAGCATGTAAAAAAATAAATTAAAGAAATTGGAAAAAATAAAGTGATTAAATTCAAAAGATTAAAACAAATCAAATATACGACACATTGTGATTTAATGACATCACACCGACAAAAAAAGTTAATAGGCTGATAAAACTTTGCCAAAAGTGTTGATATAATTCATCAAAGTGAAAGCTAATGGTTCTAAAAATAATTCGATCAGCACTAATAATTAGATAGATATTGTATATGCTTTCTCAAAATTTCTTGTTGATTTTTAACTGTAATACTTTGTAATACTTTGTTAATTGCGATTAAATATTTAGTCACTCGCTGATATCAGTTTGACGCTCTGTTGTAAACCGCATAACCAAACAGCTTTATGAAATGATATGTTGTGTTTAAGAAGATTCTTTTCTTTCCCAAAAATTGATTTTCATTTTATTTATGCAATAATCGAGAGAGGAATACATATGAGCAATTCCATTTCATAAGTAATTTAAAAATAGCAATATTTATTCGCAAGTTCTTCGTACACAGCATGCAAGATTACTTGTGTAGATTACTTGTTACTTGTAAAGAAAAACGCTGCAAGAATAAAAAACAGGGACGAAAAACGACATAAATGTGCATATAAGATCAAACAAAAGAAATAGCCAACAAGAATTTGACGACAGAGAATGTAAATAATAAAATAGAAATAGCACAGAGCATTTCTTTTGTTTGAAGTACGCGAAATTTAATGATTCTTCATGTGCGATTTCAAGCCGGATTTAGCCTGAAAATCTTTACTGCATACAGTACAGTGATAGACTGGTCTATTCATGTCATGAGTTGCCATGTGAGACTGCAGATGGTGTTTATGTATGAAACCTTTTCTGCATATCAAACAACTATACGGCTTTTCACCCGTATGAATCATCATATGTGATTTTATACTGTCAGACCGAGTGAAATTCTTTTTGCATATCGAACAACTGTACGGCTTTTCACCAGCATGAGTCCTCATATGCCTTTTCATATTACGGAGATCACCGAAATTCCTTTTGCATATCGAACAACTGTGCGGCTTTTCACTGGTATGAGTCATCATATGTGATTTCATACTGTCGGACCGACTGAAATTCTTTTTGCATATCAAACAACTGTACAGCCTTTCACCAGTATGAGTCGTCATATATTTTTTCATATCCCCGAACTGAATGAAATTTCTCTTGCATACTGGACAACTATACGGCTTTTCACCAGTATGAGTCATCACATGTTTTTTCATATGTGTTATTTCCTTTTGACATATATCACAACGCCGTTTCTTTCCTGTGCTTTCTTTTTCTGGTTCAATTACTTTCATCAGTGTTTCGATTGGAACAAGTTGTCGTCGCGGTTTAATTCGTTCATCACTCACTCCCTCCACTGATAAGCCTTGCGACTTATTTCCTTCCTCTTTCACTTTTGATATTGATAAATCCAATGGTTCTGTTTGTTCCGTTTGCGCTACCTTAAATGATATGAAATTATCAATGAAAAATCACTGTGTAAAAATTTAAATTCCGATGGTATTGTGGTGTTATGTTGTTTTTTTTTTAACTTTAAGTGGACTTACTGTGTTTCGAATATTGCTCAATTGAAAGACAAAGAAGAATAAATAGATGAAATGCATGTCAATGAGAATAATTTGTTGCCAATTCTGAAAAACATTCAAATTTATTGACGGTTGCTTCTAAAGAATAATATCGCTGCTATTTGACAAAAGAGGTATTTCTTCAAGTAAATGCTTATACTAAATATATTAGTTTATTTATAAATTTATCATCTAATTCCAAACTCAAAAGTTTGAAAAGAGGTAACGTCTTCTGTTGAAATGAATGAAATAGAATTACTGAATGAAAATTGTAGGAGAGTCTGACAGAGGCCAACCGATCAATTCTGTTAGATATTGTTCGATAATCGCTTGTATAAGTTCTCATTCAGATGGGGGTGGCAAACTACGTGTATTAATAACTTACGCCCACGTATAATATGTATAGTAATAATAATAGAATATATAATAATGTATAATGAATTGATAATAGCAGTACTGCTTAATCCTTTATACTGAATCATTTCTTTTCAGTTTCTGTATTTTATTGTTATAAATAATTTATGCAAAGCAGTTGTGACACTTTTTGTAATTTTATGATATTTCGCTTCAATTTTTCCACATTTTCAAATTTTTGGGAATATTAGAAAGAATGGAAAATTACATTGCTGCATCTCTTATAATTGGTAATGTTGATTTATAAATGCTAAATGATTTCAACTTTAAATTTGCTTTGTGTTGTGTGTAAATTAGGTTATTAAATTTTTTTACGATTTTCATATTTAACACCAGCTGATGAAGACAGCTGTCAAATGAATTCTTATTGATGATTTCCAATACTTTTAAACTTTTCAAATGCCAATCGCAATGAAAATATGAAAGATCCCATCATTTATTGACAGTAATCAGCAACGTTAGTTCCGTCCAGTAACGTTGCACAGTGTGTGGTTGGTATAACTTAAATACTGAATCGAAAGTCATCGGTTTAACACCTAATAGCTGTGTAACCGATAGGGTTGCCTAATGGCTTCACACGGTAAGCTCGGACTGGAATTATCTGCAATTCCAGACAGTTAAACTTAAGGACAGGCTTCAATTTTTTCCTAAAAGATGTGACAAGATGTAATTTATACATTTTTAATATACGTCCTTTTCGTTTTTTTTTTTAATTGAAATTTAAATAAATTCAAATGACTTGCAAAAAATGTGAAAGGAAGATATTAACAGTTGTTTATAAGTCAGGGTCATTTTGGCAAATTCAAACCTTGATTTAACATTGTCCCAATCTATTTATGTTAAATATAGGAAGTCATCATCCAAATGAGCACATGGAAGGTAAAGCACATCACTTGCTGAACTGCGTATAAGAAAATGCTTTTAATGATTCATCTTTCATCCACTTTCTTATATTGAATACCCGCATAATGCGAAATTCACTTTGCTTGTTTCTGAATTTGATTTTCAAATATATTTAATGCTAATCATTTTATTCATAATAATTTGCTACCTTACAGTCAATTTCTTTATTTATTCGAATAATGAACTATTCGCTATCAATGATTGAATAAGTTAATAACTAAAAATGATATATAATGCAATCAACTGAAATCCACCTGAAGTATTTTTGACCAATTGTAGCAAATTGCCACAGTCAATGAAGATTTAGCAAACTTTTTACAAATGAATAATTTATCTATCATTTAATGCCTAATGAGCAAACATTTAAGATACTAAAAATCTATTCCAAAAAAAAACAGAAAGACGATGAAAAAGTTCATGAACTTCAGATTTCAAGATAGACAAATTGAAGATGTAACAAAAAAATTTATCCAAATGAGAAAGGCTTGTCAAACAAAGGTAAACGAAATAACCTTCGAGCATATTCCAAATCATATCCAACCGATTCATGAAGTGCAGACATCTACATTTTTTTTTTTTATTTTTATTAATTTCTAAAGAATTATCCAATTTAATCTGATAAAAAAACAAAGTAAAGAGATTTATTTGGACAGCAAAATGTTCATCTTTAATAAAGAATACGACTGGATAACTCAGTAGCCCAGAAAAAACTATAGTAAAAAACCCTACATAAAAAACAAAAGTTAAAACATCAGAGTTCAAACAAATATAAAGATAACAATCCATAAGCATAACACCAGCAGTAACTAAAGTACTACTATGAACTAAGCAATTAACAGGAGTTGGAGCAGCCATAGCCTTAGGTAGCCAACTACCAAAAGGATACTGACCACCCTTAATAAAAGCAGAAACAAACAATATAAAAACTAATAAAGAACTAAAAAACTGATAAGAAAAAATGCCAACAGAAAAAAAAATAAAACCATTTAAAAACAAAAAAATACAAAAATCACCAATCCGATTAGTAAAAACAGTACTCATAGATCTCCTACGAGAAACTATATTATTATAAAACAAAACCAAAAAAAACTACTAACACCTAAAAAATCCCAAAAAATTAAAACTAAAATAATACTACCTCTAAAAACAATCGATCCACCCATTCTTAAGACAAACAAAAACAAAAAAAAAAAATAAAAAATAAAATAAACGAGAAACACCTTGCATATAGTAACAAATAAATTCAATTTGATTACTGACTTCAACTGTTATTTGTTATTAAAAAGTGTTCTTATCTCAAACCGTATTTTAAATTCTTTTTTTTAGAAAAATTTTCCATTCTCATATTTGCATAACATTTTACATTTCACTTCTTTCTTTTACGTTAATCTGAACTCAAATAATCAGGAACCTAGAAATAGAAATATCCGAGAAGCTATTGCTTGCTCTAACGGATGACAGAACTATGCTTCAACCGGAAATAAATTGCAAAATGAAATTGGTTAATTTTGATCAATTTTTCAGTTCCAATTTTTTGTATATTTTCAATATTGAATACCATGAGTAAAGAAAACAAAGAATAGTAACTTCAAAATTTTCGTTGATTTAATCCATAAAATTGTTAATTTAAGTATAAAAATTTCCAAAATATATTTCATATACTTTCTGTGAAAAAAAGCTTCGTTTTAATACCGAAATTAAGGATGCAGTGAAGCGAATTGTATCTTTATATCTTTGATGCTTTGTAGACTTTAGAACGCTAAACCATTCAAGTTGCCAGCAATGCCAAATCTACCGGAAACCAAAATAAAACCTTCGAACAAGTTGGTTTAGATTACTTGAGTCCTCTTCTAATTAAATCTAGTTAAAAGATAGTTAAAAGATGGTCGCTCTTTTTACATGTTTTATTACCAGAGCAGTACATCTTGAAACGACAGAAAACTTATCCGCCGAAAATTTTTTGCATATTTTTAGAAAATTAATCGCTTAACGAAACTAGTCTTAAACGATAACGCCATCATTTCCAACTTGTATTCAAGATTATTATGAAAGAAAACGCTTATTTTTTGGCAGCAAGGGGCATGATATGGAAGAAAATAGAAAGAAAACTTTTAAAAGAAAGAGAATTGATAACGCTAATAGCAAAGATAAGGAATGCTTAATATCCGACCATTAACTTACATAGGCTTTGATGAATAGAGTCATAGGCTCAATCGATTTCATTTCACCTATTGCTTCATTAATATATATTATAATTCTGGCTACGGAACATAATTCCTTACCGGAAATTAATTCAATTCTGAACAAGTTTTGGAAAAATAATCTACTCCTATGCTACATTTGGGTATGCGCTAAGAGAATATAAATAGTCTCATTGCATACCGCCGCTGGGCCACTGACGCATTGGTGCTTTGGGTAATTTCGGTAGTCCTATGCTAACCAATTATGATATTAATCAAGAGAATATGCTTCTTATATATTAAGGATTAAGGACAAACTAGTCAAATAGTGGACCAATACTCTTATCACATTAGAGTTTTTTTGGAATTTGTAGAAAGAATACCTTACAAATCTTAGAGAAGAACGTAGACAAAGGGAACTAATCTGTCGTAGATTGGTAAAAAAAAAAAAAAAAAAAAGAATTCACGTGAAAATGAAATAGTTTTATTAAATGAACCCTCGTCGTATGTGTAAATTAGCAAAGATAGTAAAAATTAACCGAATAGGATAGAAGAATAAAAAGTGCAGCAATACAAATACTTAATGGAAAACAGTTTGATCGGTCAATAACTATGCTTTGTCCTATGGAAATAAATAGGTTCCGAGAACGTAAAAAATAAATGGAAGGAACGTTTAGAGAGACGAACCAGAAGTGTCAAAACCTCAAATTGTATCGAGTCAAAGAATAAGTCAAATTTTACGATTTTACGAAAATTTTATTATTAATAATAATTGTACAGATTATAGCAATAAATAATTGTATTGAATTTTCGGAAGACTGTTTAATTTTCAATTTTTAAAACTTTAAATTAATTGAAGCTTGCTTTGAATGATTTCTTTTAATCCAACATTTTTATAGCTTTCCATACGTATTCGACATTTTCATATCTCTTTGAAACAGTCGAGTTATGGAATATTCTGAACTATGTCGCTTTCTGCAAAAGATATTACCGCCTGTAACTATAGCTCAGTGCATAAGAACTCAAAATTTGATTTGAAATGTTTATTATTATTTCCTCAAGAAAATTCTGTCATTCTTGTTGACTGCATATTTTTTCCTAAGCCTTACTTATTAAGCTTATCAATTTGATATGTCTATGAGGTAAATTAGCATTTTCATTCTGATTTTAAACTCAAAATTATAAACTCGAACTTTTGTTGTAGAATTCATATATGTGAGTGAAAAAGTCTGA